CACACAGGACAACTCACTTTACTTTTCTTACTTTTATTCTCAGTCCAGTTTGTTTTGATACTGAGTTGTTTTTTAATTTGATAAGAAACCTCTAAGAAACAAAAGAAAATTGTACACAAAATCCATTATTCTCAATATAAAACACATCCTCTCTTTAAATTTGAAATTTCCTCATTTACCTATTATTCACCTCTTACTTAACTAATTTTTTTTTTTAAAACAGTACATTCGTTTATATTTCATGAACAATTAACCATACACTCACATTTTTTGTTTGCAGCATTATGCTTAAATCATTTTAAATAATATTCACATCCCCATAATCAAGTAAGAGCAACAAACATCCAGAACTTAATCAAATCAAACTATGCCATAGACTACATGCTGCTCAACATAACAGATCAATCATTTAATATTTATCAAAATTATATAACACGTCTACACCTAAACTAAATGCATTGCTTCTGGTTGATAATGTTCATTTAATCCATACCAGTAGCGTCTTTAAGTCGTACCACGAGCTGAGCGTTGATGTCTTTCTCTGCCGAGACACACACAGGTGTTTCACCTTTCTGTGATTTATTTTTCCCTGAACACAGCGGTGCGCGCATTTAATACTTCGTCGGTAACTGAAAGTGAAACTTATTCCCGGAGTTCGAGTTTTCCGACTCTTTTCCTTCTTTGAAAAAGTCTCCCCCTCTTTTTTTTTTTTTTTTGTTAAATCTGAGTTTGAACTCATCACTGAGTTACAACATTGAATGATGGCCAGAAGTGTTTGTTAAGAACATTATGTCACGGTGAAGTTCACCTTTGACCATTTGGAATGTCAACACTTCATCGTTTTATCCTATTAAACATCAGTGTTAAATTGTTTCCTTAATTAGCGTATGAATTCTTAATTAATAGCCAATTCTGTAATTCAGTGTACTTCATTTTCCAAATATATTCCAGATATAGCCTAACAATAATAATACTATGCACATAGCTAAGTGACATTAATGTCTCCCACTGTCTCAAACCTTTTCTCATAATAATCGTGAGATCTTTTCTCGCAATAATGAGACAATAGGTCATATTTATAAAATAAAGTGTCCAGATTTTAAGGTCTCTGTAACATCTGATAACTTCACAGCTTAACCAACATGACAGCATCTCTCTCTGAGCAGGTAAATATTAAATTAGATCTGTCAAAGCAATGAATTCCCCATTAAAGAAATAAACAATTAATATTATTGGTTGGTTTTCAACTAATGATGTAATGACATTTTTTGTTGTCTTTTTCTTACAAAAGATTGCATTTGTACTCAATATTCAGCAAAGTAAATGACTAATCTGTTATGACATAATCTACAATTTATAACTTAATTCTTTGTGAGAAAACATTCAACATATGAACACTTCCACCAAACCACAGATGAGAATTTAATGAGTTGGCTCAGAGTCTGAATAATAAAGTGTAAAGCTTAATCCACAAACAAGGATCAATAAAACACTAAAACAAACAAATTAGATGGACACACACATCCAAGTTTCCCCGTGGGCCGCTGTCTGATTCGGCTTTGATCCATTTCTTCAGATCAAAGACTCCAACATAGTTCTTCAGAAGTCTGCAGCACATAAACCAGAGCGACGTGTTCCTGAGCTCACGCAGCTCTAAATCTCCTTAACGGCAGAATCATGCATTTCATTCACACAGAGGAACAGAGTGAGGTGTCTGCTTGAAGAGAACTTTTCTTGAATCTACACAGCAGATTAATCTTTACTGAGGACCAGAAGAAAGCAGAGGACCAGGATCAAGTTCACACAGATTTACACTTTGACATCTGAGCTCTCTGCCTTTCTGACTCCTCAGTATGACTAAGCAAGAGAGCCGGACACATCAGTTTTTAGTCTTATTTCAGCTGGAATCATTGGTAATGTGCAGTGAGAAGCTGTGTTAGTATATAAACATCCCAATTTACCATACAGGAGATGCTTTCAGAAAACAAATGCAGACACATCAATATGTAATATCAAAGATCTGTATGCAAAACGATGTTGTCTAATATGTCTTCCTGATGGCTCTCTGTGGGCCTAATCCTGACGAATGAATAATTCAACAGATCAAGTCAAGGAGTTTGAATAATCCACTCTCCACAAAACATGTACTCAGACTGCAGCCCGACTCCACTACCTTCAGACTGCTGATGATTAAAAACACAGAACAGTCCCAGTTCCCCACAAGACTTATCTTGTTTCTGCCCAGACTCAACTCCTCTGCAGCACTGTGCCTCTCACTGTGGGGAGATAAGAGAGAGATTAATCTTTTTTACACCCATGGTTGCCTCATGCAGCAGTGGTCACAGTTCACACCTCATGACTGTGCGGTTACCACTTAGTATCAATCTTGCTCTTTGTTTTAAAAGCTGAACTCTTCAAGCAGCAACATCAACTATAAAATCTCCTGCTCAGTGTAAATCACCATTCTTAAAACAACAAATTTAAGAAATGAGAAAAAACAATCTCGACTCAAGGTCTACTTACTTGTTTGTTCTGGAGCTTTTGAGTCTAGCACTCTTCTCATCAACAGATAAAGTTTTGCTCAGTTGTGATGGGGGCACTTTTACGACTTCTTGTCCATGTTGGCTTAAAAATTGAGCTTGAAGTTTTATTTTCAACTTTTGAAGCAGCAGTTGACAAAAAAAAGAAAATCTCCCTTGAAGGTCCACTTACACACAATGAATCAAGTAAGTGGACCTTAAAGGTACCCTGTGGTAACACTAGTTGACAATGAATTAATATTTTTACAAGTGGGTCCTCATTTTGTTTGTATGTTGCATGCTCTCAAAAAAACTGCCTTACAGTTGGTTTCACACTAAGCCACTGACAAGGCAGTGGAAAACAGGACTGCAAGCAAGTAAACAAGCATTTATTTGTCAGGTCTCAAGGACAAACATAGTTCCTTTTGGCTAGAAAGGCTATCTAATCTAATCTGAACACAACTTTTGTTTGTTTACAAGAAAACGCCAGAGTTTAAGTGGTCAACTGCTGTTTTTAAGAAACCAACCCTAACCTCCAATTCAACAATTCCCATTTGTTTATGTAAAATGTCAGCAGATATACAGTCCTGATTTAATATTTATTAAAATCTCAAATACTGATATTGGTTGGGCTATGTATTTAGTCATCAAGTTAAAATCAAAGTTAACTCATATAACTATCTTCCTACATTAGAGCGATCGTCAGTGACCTTCGTACACTGTTACTGTTTGTGACTGAAGAGAAAGTGTGTTTTGTGAGCATGTGTGCAGACAGAGGCAGAAATCAACACTAACTTTGTATTGTTCTGTAAACTTTTTCACCTTTATTTTCTACATTTGGATCAGCTCAGTGTGGAAGCCTGGACATGTCAGTCAACTGCAAACCCCCGCCCCCCCAAAATCAGAACAATCGATACACCCCCTCTGTCTCACAATCAAAAAACGTTCACATCTTCAACACAGTCACTCGCTCAGACATGAAAAAATAAAAATAAAAAGTCGACGGCCTCCTCCCACTACTGTGTCCACAACAAAGATGAACCAATGACGTGTCCTATGTGTAAACCCTTCCTCCACTGGAGGAAGCTGAAATGGTTAAAACCTTTATGAAATCACCTCTCCTGCCCTGACTCGCAGCCACAGGAGTGATACAAAAAAAGTATAAAGAAAGCATGATTGTGGAAATGAGACACTGATGTAACTGTTCAGCCTGTTTCGCTCACTGAGATACGAATAGTGAAATATTGCAGGTGAGCTTGTAAAGTGAGATATGTGGTTATGGATTAAGATATGTCATCTGCTGCTGCTGTGCTCTTTGTAATCCACAGTTCAACCCTTTTCCCTCCCCCTTCTGCTCTCTACAATTATTGTTCTGTCCCTGATTAATTCTCCAAAACACACCTCAGCGGTGTCTCTTTGATATTCTAACAAACACTTTCCAGGCATCGTTTCCTACTGTAGATATGTCCTCAGGAGAGTGCGGAGGCTCGGCTCTGTTCAGCAAATAAAAGCAGCTTTTGCTCTTTTTGTACAACGGAAGCAGGAATACGCTGATCTGCTGTCAGTCTATGCTACGGGCTCTTGGTTGTCCAACAGCAAGGATTCTGAGAGCTGTTTGTTCTAGTAAACAGGGAATTTATGAACTGGGATTAGTACTGAAGACACACGCTCACACCCACACTAACGCATCCATCCACACACTCCACTGGAGGAAAGAAGCCCTTGGAGTGTATTTTTTAAGAGGTCATTGAGAAGAAGATATGCCAAAATGGATTTAAGTATCAGGCTAATGCAGCCTTTTCCTATATAAATACAGGATGTGTGTGTGTGTGTGTGTGTGTGTGCGTGTGACTATGCAGTGCCTTATGGGAGAGTTCCCTATGGTTGAACACTACATTAGGCAGTGAACATCAGTTACATATGCAGAGTCCTGTGTGCATGTGTGCGTGTGTGTGTGTTAGCTCTATGTTAAACATCTTTAAAGACAACAGAGACAGACATAGAGACTAGGGTTACTGCTCTGTGGCACTCTCACAGGACTGTAGAAACAGACAAAGCCATGTAAAAACTGGACATAGAAATCTCAAGATATCACAAACATCATTTTTCTCTATCACTAGATCTCTGCTGACGGCAGACGTAGGGTCCTCGTGTTCGGTCCTCTTGTTTTTTTTATGTGCAGTCCCTTGCAAAATCCCTCAGCGAGGAGACTTCAGTCTGTAGGATGAAATGCCGAGGAGTAACACCAGAGGGAGACATATACTGCTGCAAGACTGTAGGAGGGGCTCTGACACATGCATACATGACAGTCTCACACATACACACACTTGCTCACATACTCATGCACCCTTCTTCATAGAGTTCACCAGAGTTCATTTTCAAAATCCATTACAAAATTAAATAAAAAAAAAAAGAAAAGAAAAAGAAATCAACAAGGAATTCAGCCCCCTTCTCAAAGCATACATACAGGATGTGACACACACACATACACACACACACACACACACACATAAGTGCACACACTCTCTCATAAGAGGCAGTCAGTAAACCTTAAGTGATGAGCTGAGGGGTGGACTGCTTAGTCCAGGGAAGCTGTGAGTGCAGAACCTCGACTCCACCAGCCAGTCTCATATTCACGCCCAAGAGCGAGTCACTCGGCGTGGTTAAAATCTCTTTTTAAAAAAACAAAACAAACATTAAACAACAGCCATATTCCCCCAGAGGGAGTCTTTTCTCTCTTCCCGCTCTGAGGAGGGTCGAACACACTCCTTCCTCTGATCTCTGGCAGAGGTAGTACCGTCCAATCCGTCCTACTCTCTTCCCGAGTCCCTTCATGGGAAGTCTTTCCTTTCCCGGTGCCCAATCGTCATAAACACGTCCATTCCCCTCATTGCTTACTCTGGGCCGCTGTGTGTGTGAGTGTGTGTGTTTGTGAGTGTGCGGAGTGTGGTCAGAAGACCTCTGGTAGTGTGACGTTGCGGAGCAGCCACTGTTGAGAGCGTGTGTGTGTGCAGTCCCTGACGCTGGGCACCTGGCTGTCCTCCTCGCTGGCCTTGTCCAGACACTGGTTACTGTTGACGTGGACCAGAGTCAGCTTCTGCACAGCAGAGAAACACAGAGTGGGTGTGTGTGTTTGAGAGGATGCATCTGATTTTCAACTGATTCATTAGAATTCACATCCACATGTAAATAAATCTTTATTCAAATACTACATCTGCACACAAGTTTCGTAGTTTAATTTTCTATCTCAAAATTACTTTTTTTTAGACCTTAATTTTGAGGCACAATTTAGTTTTGGCTCTCAGTGAGGCATGCTGTGGCTGGGCTGGGTAATGTGTCAACTAGGATATATTACCCTAAAACTGAGCACAATAAATATCCCACTGACTGAAATGACAGCTGGTCTGAAATATGTGCTGTCATTCTGTTTGTGTACTGGGAATACACACGGCTCATTATTTTCAGTTTAAAAAGAAATCTGGGAATTAATTTGTTTTCCTTTTTATTTATGAAGGAACATTTGAAAACTGTAAAAGAAAAAAAAAAAGAAAAAAAAAAGCTGTGCTCATTGCAGGAAGAACTTTTACTTTTACTGACAAAAACCTGCTTCTTTTGTTTGTTTGTTTGTTCTTTTGTTTTGACTTTTTTTTTTGCATTTTCTCCTTTATTGTTTTCATTTCACCAGTGTTATTGTTTTTTGTTTTTTTATAACTTTCCAGACTTTCATGGGGTAAATTAACAACTGCATTTTCTGTACCTGTCAAGATCTCAATGAGAACCCGCTGTGTATCTTATCATCTGTACATTTCCTGTACCAGTAAATCTGTATGTTTATTATTTCCTCCCATACACCAATACATGTACATTTTCATAATATCTGCCACTCACCACAGGGTCGTACTCCCAGAGCTGGTTGCCTTTGAGGTGGTGGCACTTGAGCATCATGACGGGTCCGTTTAGCTTGGACACATCTAGACACAAGTCGTCTGTCCTGATCTCCTTATTGGCCGTGTAGGAGAAAACCTGCCATGTCACATGGACAGATTCAAGCTTTTAAAACAAATCTTTTTCATTTTTCTCCTCCTTAACATTTTCACTAGCACTTGATTGATTACTTCCAAGAATGACTACAATGTGACTGCAGCTAAGTGTTCACTGTTTACATAAACTTAGTTCATTTCTCATTTCGTCTCAGTATTTGTTTCTTTATGATGTCTTTTGCTCTGTCTCAGTCTTCTGTTACCTGGTTGCCTCCCATGCCGTGGCAGTTGAAAATGCCGACCTTCTCATTCTCCTTGCGGGCCATGTTGTCCAGGCACTGGTTGGTCTCCACATTGCGTATCTGAGTCAAATACACACAGAAATCACAGTAAGCAACACTGTTCCCTGAACGTAAAACTACACCTTTTCATTTAGATGCTTTATATCCTCTTAGATTTCAAATGAAACACAGTGAATCGCAGATGCATCTGTGCCTGTCTGTCTCGTGACTGATGGTCTCTAAAATGTTGTGACTCAGATAGTGAGGTGTGTGTGTGTGTGTGTGTGTTTGTGTGTGTGTGTGTGTGTGTGTGTGTGTGTACATGTGTACCTCTCCCAGGGAGTAATAGTGCCTGGGGATCTGGGAGTCAGGGTAGACGTTCTCCAAGTACCAACTGAAGGGTTTACATTGAAGCTTTTGTCTCAGAGCAGTGCGAGACGTGATGTCACCGTAGTCAACTTTGGTCACACCTGGACACACACAGACATTAACGTAAAGGTCAGTAACTATGGCACCAAACTACATTCACATAATCCTGGGTTTGTTGTTGAACGGCTTTTAAAGGCATTTTTCCATCCACGCATAATTTTAATGGAGTCATTGGTAAAGCAGAACAAGGCCACACCCAAACACACACCCAGTATCATTGAATTGCAGAGCTCACTTGTCAGACAGTCAAGTGCTTGAAAAAAGCCCAATGTTGAAGGGCCACTCCAACACAAATGTATTTGTTGAGTATCAAATCACCTTTAGATTAGGTGGACATGGTTCCTTTGCGGACAGCAGTGGGGGCATGGATTACAAAAGATTCCAGTAAAGACAATAAAGTCTGAATGTTTCAAACCAGTCTTACAAGCCACTGAGTGAGAAACAGGCACTCTGGTGTTGTCCTCACTGATGACTGTTTTGCCTGTTTGGAAAAGCAACAAAGCCAAGCAGAGCTTTGTAGGCGTGATTAAGAATGACGACATAATTTGTCCTCGCCAGATTCAGAGAAACGGATAAAAATGGCCACAAGCTATACACGTTGTTATAAGTCCACTCACATGAATGATAATAGTAGCATAATAAAACTTTATTTATACAGCTTATTTCATGCAAAAAGATGCAATAAAATGTGCTTCACAAAATACGAAAAAAAAAAAAAACCCCAAACGCATTAAAAAGACAGATGCAAGATGATTTTCTCTTGAGACAAAGCTAAGAGATTTAAAAACAAAATTAATAATAAATAATATGACAATTAATATTGTAAGTAAGGTTATTCAAATATTCAAAGTTTATTATCAAAGTTTGTGGGTAAAAGCAATTTCTAAAAGATAAGTTTTGCTTTAAAAATCGGTAAGTGATGCAGCCTCTTTACTTGATTTGTTAACTCCAATAGCTTCTTCTGTGTCAACTGACAATAAAATGACAGAACGGATAAATCAGTTACTACTAACAAAATGATATCCCTGTCAAACTGAAAATGGCAAAGAAACACTTTACCACTCCTACGCCATCACACCAAATAATAATGTAAAAAGGAAATGACAGTACAGTCAAACTATCACAATACATGCTGTAACTGTAAAAGTCACTGTAAGCAGGTGGTTAAGTGTTAAAATTGCAGCAGCTGTTACTTTCTTTGCCTGGAGGTGGCGATATCAACATATTTACATCTGCAGGTGTAAACTGAGTTTGAGAAGTAATTACTAACATCTGAAAATATTAGTATTGTTAAGGGAGTTTTGCTTTACTTTTGGTTGTCTCTCCTTTGCCAGCTTGTGTGTGCGAGTGTGTGTGAGTCTGTGTGTGTGTGCGCGCGCAAGTGTGTTTGTGTGAGTTAATAAGGGCTTCGTAGCGTGAAATTACTTGCCGCCCCCCCTGTCCTGCACTGCTGGGTCGCAACTGCAATATCACACTGTCACTGGGTTAATGGATAGATCACACCTGCCACAGAGATTAACCTCCACACATGAGCACATACATGTATACTTGCGTGAGCACACACACACACACACACACAAATACAAATGCTCACACACACAAATACACACAGAAACACAAACACACATGGTCCAACTCACCAGGAGAGATGATATAGAAGAAGTTTTTGAATTCATCCATCCACACTTCTGCCAGGCGTCGGTTGTTTTTGTTGATGATCTGTCCCGTTCCTCCGGGGAACGTGTAAGGCGTTGCCTTTCTGAACACGTGACCCACATGAGAGCATGTGACAATTTCTAGAGTCCCACCGCACTGCCAGATCTGTGAAGACCAACACACACACACACACACACACACACACACACACACGTACAGTATACTGTGAAGAAGACACACACTGCAAGGCCTCATCACTGAATGAGCAAACTCTGCTGGGAGATACATGATGCAGCTTGGTCATGTCTGTGTTGTGACTGAATAAGTTTGATTGAAAGTCAGTCAGGATGACGCCTGACAAAGTATTAGTCAAGTCGACAATTTAGTCAGAGTAGTTAAGTATGTGTGTGTGTCTCTGAACCTGAGCAGACACTCCTGAATGCCTGCCAGTGGATGGAAGAATACAGTCATGTCAATTGGCTGCGGGTGTGTTCACTCACCCTGAAAGAGATTTCCAGGTTCTCTCCACCCCAGATGTCCATGCCTGCGTCATATGTGCCGATCTCCTGGAAATAATCTCTGTCTATGGAGAACAAGCCGCCTGCCATGGTGGGAGTCCTAGAGAGAGGCAGGAGAACAGGGTAAATTAAGAGTGAGGTAAGTCAGTGCCACTTAATCCACTTAAGGCCTGCTTTCTAAAGGTCACACAGTATCTACGGATCCCATCAGAGTTTTATATTTCACTGTTCTAACCCCGTTCTTTGCCATTTTCCTGTTTGTCCATTTTCTGCTTTTCTGCTCACTTCTCTGTTGTTGTGATGGCCATGTCAGTGTTTAATGGCCTCAAGGCTCGGCTCCTATTTCTCCCCCTCACAGAATGGCTTCCTCCTTTGTAAATCAGGCTAATTTTTCTTGCTGTCTGTTATTGCTTTCATTTAACATGCAAGTTCACTTATCAACACAAAATATCTGAGAGCACATGGGGCACGGGTTTGTTTGCAGCATTTAGCTGAAAGCGGGAAATAATAAGCATCGCAGAAGTAAAGATAAACAAATACCCCCTTGCTAAGCAACACAGATAACAACAGTAGAACTAAAAGTAGTAAATTATGGCAATATTAATTATACATGTGTGCATGTTTTTCTTTTTACTGTAAGATATCAAAGCTCTCTAACTCAGCTCAGACTCAAAAACATTGCAGTAAAGCAAACAAAACCTACTAATTTACAGTGAATCTTTGACATGTGCAGTGTAGCAAAAACAATTTCTAATTAAAGCCATTTATATAAACAGTGAGTGTTTACCACTTAAAACACTGTTTATTATCTAAAAACACACAATGACATTGAGATAAAGACTAAAACTGCTACAATAAATAAAGAAAGGAAGAAAAACTATGAATAAAAGACTAGCAATTTGTACTGAGAACATGAGGAGGAGTTTTCCATCACAGTCTACTGTGTTTTTTGTTCAGCTCGTCCTGTGGTAAATTCTCTCCCCTTTTTTTCTGGAGGATTTAGAGCGTCTAATTGACACAACGTCATTTAATATGTTCAGAGGATTTTTCGTAAGCCTTCCTTTGACCTTGGATAATTTTGGTGTGTTTTTTCTGTCCTATAGCTGTAAAGAGAACCTTTCTAAGTGACCTCAGACTTTTGCACAGTACAGTAAATTACAAGGTAGAAGAGTCCGTAACAACCGGTTTAGCTGCTGAGGTTTGCTCGTGTACGGTCACTCTTTGAGGCCTCTCAGTGTGTGACAGCAACAGGCCCGCAGCTTGCGATGCACTGGCTACTGAAGAGCAATCCCATTGATAACCATAATAACAGCCATTTAACACCAAATGCAATTTGACAAGTTGAAATCACACAGTGTAGTATAATGATTTCCCGCTGCCACATCCTCTTCTATGTGAGCTATATTGGTGCTCGATTGAAAGCCAGTAACCAATTAAATCTTTGTTGTTTATGTGCAATAGCTTTCAAGTTCTCCCAATGTGTGACTGCTTTGTAACAGGACAGCGTTTATGTAAATTGTGTCATTAGTGTAAAGTACTTCTTAATTTCCTGCACTACCACTACAACCCACTTTTTGTTTTTTAGGCCACTCACAAGACACCCTTAGGAAAATTTTGTCACTCAGAGCTGTGAAAAACAACTGAAAACAGGGGCAAAGAGTGTTACATAAGATATATTATGTGTGTGACCTTGGATAATGGCGTCAAGCATGCTTCGAAACAAGAGCAGGAAGAAGAGATGATAGACAGGCAGAAAAGATCTTGATTTTACTTCCAAGGCCTGGGTCATGAGAAACGGTACAAGGAAACAGAATTACACAGAGTCTTACATAAACATCTTGACTATAACTACAGAGGAAAGTTCACTGTATTCTTTCAGTATTCCTGCCTCCAGAACATTTTATGATTATAAACTGTTGAAAATTAAATGATCAAGTATGATTACGCTGCATATATCAATTGTGAATGCCTATCAGTGCTGCTAAAGCTCGAAGCATAGGTTCTTCTACATATAGTAGCTCACTGACAAAGGTAGTTGGTTATAATACTGATATGACTCAGGCCTGGCCCCTGTAGTGAAATCCTCTTTTTGGTGGACCCAGAAGAGAGGTCAAAGGTCAGGGTCAGCTGAGCAATAGCAGCCCTTGAGCTGGTAGAGATTGAACAACTTGATGAAGTTAAATACTGCGGGTCAAACCAAGATGATTCAATTTCTAGTTTGTCCCGCTGCATCACCCACCTGACAGGCAGTGTGCGATCTCCTTTGCGGCGGTCCATCTCTCTCTGGGGTACAGGGTACCAGCGGAAATTGAGCTTCCAGTTGAAGCCTCCGTAAGTCATGTCGGATCCTGCCATGTACTCGAACGTGTCATCGCTAATCACGTCGATAATGGGGCACACCACAGTTTTCCTAAAGCAAACACAAACAACAGCACAGACATACAAACGTACACACACACACACACACACACACACACACACAGTACATCAGCCTGCTGTTCATAACCTTGGGTGGTCATCAATCATGACTAAGTGCTCATCTGCAAGGTGTGGCATCTCCAAAATCCAATGCATTTCAACTACAGTGCATGCTGTGACTTTCCATCAGCCATCATTCATTACTCATTACACCTTATGTGTTTTCTGTGTGTGTGTGTGTGTGTGTGTGTGTGTGTGTGTGTGTGTGTGTGTGTGTGTGTACCTGCTTGTGGGAAGCAGTAAACAGAGAATGAGTAATTAAGTATCAAATAAACACAAGGACAAGCCCCCTGCAGGCTCAACAATAGTTTATTGATTTTTTTTATGCTTGCCAATGGTGTGTGCGTCTTTTGCGTTTGTGTGTGTCTCACTTGTCTTGCTTGATGCGAGCGAGCAGAGGCTCCAGCCACCCCGTTGTGCATTCACAATGAGCATCCAGAAAGGTTATAACCTAGAAACATGGAGGGAAAACATTAGACAAACCCCACAGTGCACACACCATATGGAGAACAGGTCACTGGGTATTGGATGTCACGTATGTGCATGTACACCCACACAAACACATGCCCACACACACACCTGGCCAGTGGAGATGGATGCTCCTTTGAGACGAGCACGGATAAGTCCGGACCGCTGCTCCATCCTCACAACTCTGACGGGGACTTCAAGCCGTCTGACGTACTGCTCCAATGGCCGCTTTAGGAAATCTGAAACATACAAACAACCACAGATGCATTAAAAAGGATAAAATACATACAAATAAACCCACACACTAGACTGACAAAAACACACACAGCAGTGGCTGGTTTACAAGCCGTTCCTCCAACCTATTCATTTTGTACCAGCAGAGATCAAAGGTAAGTGTGTGCTATACTTTTGCTTGTGTGCAGGTGCCTTAGCATGCTTGCCAACATCCCTTCTACCTGCAGAGAGCTCCCCTCCCTACACTCACCAACATATACACAGACACACACTCTGACTTGCACCATCAAACCTAAGGTCTCATTGGGTGTAATGGTGCTGTGTGGTGGTGGCTGGGGGGAGATTGAGGGTAATAACAGAGTGTAATCCCTGCGGCTGGCAAATTAAAGACCTAATCTCCCCCAAACAGGGATTAACAGCATTGCACAGGGTAGAGTCGCACACACACCACATATATACTGGCTGGCTGTTGCTCTCACACACACACACACACACACACACACACTCACACACACACACACACTCACACACACACACACACTCACACACACACACACACTCACACACACACACACACTCACACACACACACACACACACACACACAAACACAGCAAAATCATACAGCAGCTCTCTAAACAAAAATAGGCTAAGCCTCAAACAAGAGGCACTGGAGGAATTATCTGCAGTTTGTTTTGTGTGTGTGTGTGTGTGTGTGTGTGTGTGTGTGTGTGTGTGTGTGTGTGTGTGTGTACACACCTCTCTCACTGGCATCGTCCACCAGGACAATTTCCTCTAGCAGTGTGTGTGGAGAGCGGTCAATGACGGAGTGGACGGTTCGCAGCAGTGTGCTCCACGCCTCATTGTGAAATACAATCACCACGCTGGTACGAGGGAGATTATCAGGGTATAACTTGTTCTTGCACCTATGGGGAGAATATATAACAATCAGAATAAAGTCTTTAATGACAAAAATCAGCTTTCAATGCAGAATGATACAAAGATATTAAATGCAACTGTACAGCTGATTGTTCCAATACTAAAATGAAAAGTACACAAGGTACAGCAAGAAACTGGTTAGAAAAAGACAGCCACACTGGCAATAAGTAAAGATGTAGACTTTGAACCCAGACAAAACTGAGCTGACAGAGACAGAGGGAGAAAAGAGAAAAACACTCTAGTAGAGACATCACAATCCAGCCTCTGTCTGATTATAAGAGACTGCTACAGACAGAGCTGCAGCTAAAGTGAGTCTACACAAGAGAGAGCTGAACAGGAGGGAAACTGTTGGGACTTTAATATCAACTAAACCTCATTAGTCAGTCATGGAATCACTGCGTTAATTAACTCATCATTTATGGCCTTGTGAAAAATCATATTTTTATCAACTTCCAACAAAGAAAACTGAGGGTGAATAATGAGTGAGCAACTGAGCAAAAATCCCCAAATTTAGAAACATACACAGAAATAGTGGGTCAGCATGATGACAGTTGAATAGTGATGCTAATTAGAGTGTGAGTCATTATGAAAGCAGTGTAGAGCACACATATCAAACTCTGTTATTGAGAGACAGAGAAGGATGTAAATGTCTCACAGAGGAGAGCAGGCATGAGTGGAGAGACAAGAGAAGAAGGATATTATGAAATGAAGAGTGGGTCACAGACATATTTAATAGTTCTCCAAACTATTCCCTGAGAAATACTTTGTTTTAAATGATCATTTAAAGTAAACTAGTAATTTCACATCACTTAGGCCATTAAGCACAAAGTTCAAGTATTTTGGCTTACACCTGACCACTTCCTAGGGCATAGTTAGGGCTTTAAGGTTCATTTTCTACCTTTGAGATAGCCATTGATTAATGTTTATTTTATTTTAGCAGGAAAATCAGCGTGAAACTTGCTTGACGTAGCTGGCCTAGGCTAACATAGTTAACCTTCACAGTCCTTGGCTTTATTTTTTCAAGAGAGGTCTGTCACTTTCTTACGCTAATGCAGTGCTCATCCCAGTCTGGTTGTTTTATCTATAAATGCATTAGTGAGGGGAATTTCCAGAACATCTGCATCTGTATTTTATAACATTTACTGCATTTGGGAATCCTCATACACTGTAACAGAAGATTTTATCCTTGATGCCCTTCCCTAGCTTGCTGCTTGTAAACACTTTTATTAGTAGGCTGAGGTTACAAGAAAGACAATCTTTCAATTTGTGGCTTCCTTCTAAAGAGTGATTGATGACATTATGGGTAGTTTTATTTCAGTGTTATGCAGACTACAGTAGATGCTGTAGAGATTAGTGCACATTCATATAATACACTGCTATACTCCAATTGCTTACATTGCCATTTTGCCAAGGATTTACAAAAGTTTGTCACATCATATCCACCTTAAGGTATGAGTCATCTCATCAACCAAAATAAACAATTATTTTTTTTAGGAAACAGCTTCAAAAGCATGCTCTAATCATTGAGAATAACACAGATATTACAGATGAATTTATTTGCACAACAGATGGCACAAAATATGGACACATCCAAATGAATGTTAAATGTTATTCTTAAAAAAAAAAAAAAAACTAAATTTTACTGGAGAACACACATTGTGACAGGAGACAGAGGATCACCTCTGTTGTTCAAGAAGCACTGCAGCCTGCAATGATACCTGCATTCAAGCTGTCTGATATTTCATTGCCTCACAGCCAACCTGTTATCTCTTGATGACAAAACTGAAACCAGCCTGTGACTTCCTCCCTCTGACTCTCACACAATAGCCAAATGGAATATGATCTCTCTTCCTCCATCCTCATAACGCCCTCCCTCCCTGTGATCTTCCAGAGCACTAGAACGCTTCCTCTTTTTCTGCTGCTGACTCTGACAGAAGGAATGTAACAGCGACAGAGTAGAGGAGGTCAAGCATATACTCCATCCTGCAGCTGCTTCTGGAGCATGTTAAATAACACACACAGTGATTCTCAGGCTGCGGTGTGCATGCTAATACCCTCTGTAAGGAAGGGAGGTTGATGAGCGCACAAGATGATTCACTGTAAAAACAGAGACACCCTTGGAGTCTTTCAAAATGTATTCACGTCAGTTCATTATTACTCGCTCCTCTGTTTCACAAGCACAAAAAAAACAACCAAGACTTTCCACTCTCTGCACATGATCTTTGCTGTGCAGCTGATGGAAAACAAGACCTCTGTGTTTCCACCAAACCAACATGTGTTGACACGCACACACACACAGTATGTCACATGATGTGGATTTTAAAAACTGAGGACTTTTTGTGAGTCCTGTGTATCCAAACAGTTGGGGTGGTGGATCAACATTTGGCAACAGCAAAACAGGGTAATGAGCTAAAGGCCTGGTGTCTACAGCCAGTGGATGGGGATGGGGATATGTGGGGATACTTGGGATGGGCGGGCAGACTGGTTCTGATTAAACAGCGTCACTTTTGCAACATTACAAACATGCACAGACACATGCGTATACATATACAGCATGTTCCAATAATGCTGAAGTCAGGATCTAAAAAAAGGAGAAAATGTCAAGTTTTATGAAAGGTGTGGTCCTTGAAAGTGTTTTCATATACTGCAGATCCACCCAACCACATGTACACACACAGAGACACACAGAGACACACACAAAAAAACGCAGACGTTTACACTCAACAGCTTTACTGCTAACAATGATGAAAATAAACCATCCTTGAGTTTCCGCTTCAAAGTTTCAGCTAGTGGCAACCTGCTTGGCTATGATGAATTCATTCATAGTTTCCCTAAAAACCTGCAGCACACACACACACACACACACACACACACACACACACACACACAAACATGCATACACAGAAATAAACACAAACGTATGTGTGCCTCTGCACACAGGCGCACATTCCCTTGCTCGATATTGACTCTTTCTTATCTCCTAATTGGAAAAGCAGATAGACGGAGGGAAGGCTGAGTGAAAACACACCTAGTAATCAACTCTCGCTCAAAGACTAAAACCCATTTCACGGATCAATGTCCTCTTTCTTTCCTGCCCGTCTAGTGTGCATGTGCCCCTGCCTGTCAGTCTTGCATCTGTCAGTCAGTCAGTCTTTCTGTCCGTCTCTCTCAAAACCTTCGTTACTGATCTTTGCATGTTCCTCTACTGAAGCGAAAAAAGGGGCAGGAGGATGGAAGGCTGAGCTGGTTTCCACCTGCTTGAACTAACCTTGACATGTCTTCCATGCTGCTGGCCAGATGCATGTCTATCTGCTGCACCGACTGCCACCCTGCGTTAAGACTTAACAACCTGCAACCACTGGCACTGACAGACACTTAAGTAACACTAAAATCCTCATTACAGACGAGAAGGACCTCTGAATTGCATATATAACCTAGTATTGTTAAAACAAAATAAACTACTTTCTCACCATTATCCTTAAAACTGAAAAATATCAATACTTTTTGGTTTTGATTTTCTTTACATCTTAGTAAAACTGCAGTTAGCCTAAGGCATGGAATACCAGAGGTCAATGTGTGTTGTTAGCCTCAAGGTCTTGTGAAATGGTGTCATTACTTCCTTAATGTAATGTATTTCCTGTTAAAACAGGAAAGTGAGGGATAAATCTTTAGGGTGAACCAATGTGCTGTTAGTTATGGAGAGAAAGGCAGTTTGACTTGTTGGGACGGACAGAAAGGTGGAATTGTTGAAAAATCTGTCATCATTTTATTGGTTGGACCTTTTTGCAACACCCACTGATGCAGCATGAGGTCACCACATATAAATCTACCAGCTAGCTGTGTCCCAGTTCCATAGCATATACTAATACTAAGCAAGTTTTCAGTCTGTAGCAAAATAATGACATATTAATAACAATCAATATGCATACAAAGAGGACTTTCAAACCTGTAGTTTTGTTCATTTGGTCCAGAACAAGGGATGAAAATGATGCTTGGTTGCCTTTCAGTTCTGGTGTGCTTTGTGTTCAAACTGATTTTCAAAATGAACGAAGAGCTATTAACATGAAGTTATACGGACTGACGGGTAATTATCAGAGCTATATGGAGCCATATGGGGAAATTCACTTTAATGTTCTTATGTGTTAATTTATGTTTTCTGGTGTCACAAAGAACAGTACTTACTATGGATGCATAAGTCACACTTTTTAAATGGACTTAATGAACTACTAGAGTACACAGAGTAGGATGCAATCGGGATACATTTTGTCTGTCTGACTAATCAGGGAAATCCCTGATGAGCATGTGTTACCATGTTTAACAAATGATTTACATTAATATATATACTGCATATACAGGTTGCTTATTATAAGAACATAAGAAATGAATATTTCTCAAACAGCAAGTGCATTTAATAGTATCTTTTTTGTTAGTATCTTTTTAGTTTTTGAAATCACACTACAACTACATGTACTAATCTTGTGGTTGAGTGGTTTTCTTTCAGACCACAAACAAACTGTACCAGAGTCCACAGAGCACACCAGGCCCTCCTTTGCAGGTGTCTAGGTCAGGTATTTCAGTCCACACCAGAGTATAATTGACAGCTTTCACACCAGCCCGAACAAATTGCACTTAAAGGGCAAATGCACCAGAGTTCTTTTTAACCAGTATGAAAGCACCCAAAAAATGTGCTGTTCATGGACTGTACTGTCCAAAAATGCATTGCAAAAAGGAAATGGAAGAGCTGCTCATAGCTGGAAAAAATTAAAACAAATCGGGGATGATAGTGAGACAGCTGTGTGAAAGGCAACAGAAAACAAAACAAAATCTATTAAATCTTTGGAAAAGATTATGCTGTCTATGTGTGAAGTTTAATTGGCAGTGGGTATTTCAAAATTGAAGCTAGACTGATACGCATGCATTGTATTATTTCATGTTAGTAGAGTAAAAAAATGTAAAGATATCTTTATTAGTATACTAACAGTATTTTGTACATACTGTGTACAATTAGTATATACGTAGTGTAGAGTTAAGACTTATTTTTCAGTAAGTTCAAGGCCACCACACCCTGTCTGATTCACTGTCTACTGAGTATGACAGTTTAATCACTTCTTAAAATATACTTGTTTCATTTCTATAGTCTTACCAATAGTGCCATTTTTAAAGATGCACATTTATGTTGTAAATCTGAACGTTTCCTAATCCTATTTCTATATACTGTATATATTTCATGTCCTTTAATAAATCAGTCACAGATTAATATAGGTATAAAATGTAATTATAATTGTTGTTGTTGGTAATACTCTCTATCCTGACTTATGTATCCATACATGTGTCTCTCTTCATGTCGTTATTAATTACTAACTTTAACCGTGGCTCACTGTGTGACTGGTCGTGCAGGCTTTGGGCCAGTGTGACAGCCTTTTGAGGACTAAGTGACAGGACAGATGATTAGCTGTAGGGATGCTGCCTACCCTTCCAGGCGGACATCAGGCAGTGAACGATTGAGAGCAATCATCTCAGAGGCCATGAGGTTGAACTGGTTGATCTTAAACATCTCCTTCATCTTCTCCTGGTTCTCCTTAGGTATCACCACAGGCTTTCCCCCTTCACCGGGCCCGTCCCGCGGCCTGGTGAGGGCGTCTACAATAGACACACACACACACACACACACACACACACACACACACACACACACACACACACACACACACACAGTTGATCAGGGAGGGTGCTATAGGATGTGAGAGTGTGGCCCTGTGATCACATGTATGGGTGTGTCAATATACACTCACCGTCTCTCCCAGGAAGTCCTCTCTCCTTCTTGTCGTCACACTTGTTGCACTCGCTGAAGTAGAGCAGAATGAACATGTCCAGCATCACCCACACCAGAGAGGTGGCTAAAACCACCTTACAGTAGGCAAACCTCCGCATCCTAAAAATGTAATGAAAGGAAAGGAGGACAAAAATATTAAAGCTCTGCCTGAGGTGAGGAGTGATGGTGAGCTGCACACGCAATCACAGCCTTTTCGAAAGCTCTGCAGAGATCACTCTCCATTTCTTCTCATATCTCCCTTCCTTTTTTCCTCACTCCATTCAACCTCCACCTCTCCCACAGCTCTGTGCCTGAGCATCTTCTCAACACCTCCATCTGTCCTTCTGCCTGCCTGTCTTTCTGTCTGTCTGACTCTTGGCTCTTATCTGTCGGCTGTTTGTCAGCGCCTCTCCAAATGGTCACCTCCACACTCAGAGAGAGCCTCAAAATGGACACTGTGCATTGTTGATTTTCTGTGTTATATCCCTCCAGAAGAAAAACAGTAAATCTATGATGGCATTTGTAAAAGTTTATCAGTTGGTTAGCGTCTGGCGCCATTATAAAAACATTGAACATCTGTGCATTGGAATGGATGTTTTATGGTATCTAAGCAGTGCTTTAGCTGCTTTCAAGTGTCAAGCAAAGTTACACGGCAGAAATAGACATCTACTGTATCAGAGTTCCCAAATACCCTGCAGTGTACAAACCAATCTGCCCTTTGTACATTTAACATACCAAATCCCTGTGTGCTTAAGTGCAGTCACACACACACACACACACACACACACACACCGAGTGCGCCCACACACACACACGCACACACGCACACGCACACGCACACACACACACACACACGCACGCACGCACGCACGCGCACGCGCACACGCACACGCACACACACACACACACACACACACACACACACACAGAGTAGCAAGAGGAGCTGTGATAGTAATTGCTTTTCTTTGGCAGGCAGCGAGAGACAGACACATTAAAATTCCTCTGCTCCCCTTTCCTTCTCTCCTCCAGCACTGTCTCTCCTCTCTCCTCTCTCCCTCCGATTCTCTGCCTCAATGATCCCTCAGGTTGCAGCAGCAGAAGGGAGAAAATTAATTTGGCCATGGTGATTTCTCTCGTGCCCCTGGGAGGAAAAAAAAGGTGCTTGTGCATAGCTAGTTTAGCTTAGCTTAGCTTAGCTTAGCTTAGCTTTGCTTAGCAGCCACACAGGAGGGAGAACTGCAGAGCAGCATTTCTAAATTCCACCTGATAGGATTCTGGTAGCATAAAGTGCCGTGAGCAGCAGAAAACAAGAGTGAGGATCTGTCTGTTGTCTCAAAGTTTGTCCTTTTTCAGACTTTTGTGCCTGCAGAGCCAAATAGTTTCAATATCCTGACAATACGGTAGTTTGACTAATTAAATCTATGTACTTTACGCATCTAGTTTGCAGCAGAGCATGAAGGCCACACCAGCAGTTATGTTTATACAGTTATGCGTTATCTCTGGGCAGAGATATTTAAAAAAAAATAGGCAAACATAATACTTAATGGGGCTCTACCACAAATTGCTAATAATCATGCTACTTTTAATGACAGGTGAATGCTGCAAGAAAACAGCCAATAACAATGAACACTGTTATGTAACTAGGTTACAGCAGCTGCAGTTTGATAAAAAAAAAAAGAAAAGAAAATTCTGGTCTCAAATGCAAAGCTGACCTCAACTGTGTCACTACTGTGATCTCCAGTCCCTCCTTGGAAGAAAATAATCAAATCAATTACACTATAGTAACATGCAATGAGGGGTGTAAGCATGCAATTGCATAATGTAATATCAATTTACAAATCCCCACCCTGGTAAGTAGTAAGCAGTAGATTGAATGGAATTTAACATCTGACCATTGGTTAACAAGTCTCTTGGTGATCTGGCACCTACATGAGGAACCATCCATGACAGATCATTTGACACTGACCTCTTTCACTTTATCAGTATTTAACCTCTGGAACTACCTCCTAAACAATCTCTGACACACTGAAACGCAAAATGGTTCAAAAAGCAACTTACACCTGTTTAAAATACCTTTTTACTACCAGTTGAAAAAAAATGGGGAAATTGGTTCAGAGAAACTGGGAATGAAAACACAGAGAAAAAGATGGCAAGTGGATCTTGAGTCAAGCTTATTTCATCAACTACAAATTTAAGATGCTCTTATGATACACAATACACTTTCTAATGTACAACTTCACACGAATACATGTTTTGCATTCATATCAATGTTATTTTATCTCTATCACTATCATATTTGTAGCATATTTTGAGAAATTTAAATGTTGGGTTGTATTCATGTTTTAAAAAATTGTCCTTTTTTCTTCAAAAAAATAGTTCATTTGTTTGAGTTACCATCAGATTAATCAAATCACTACAATAAAGGTTAGTTTTAAGCAGTTGTAAATATGTAACATGCATTTATTTATCATTTCACGAGAATTTCATTTTGAATTGGTGATGATTTCGACACTTGGCATCCTGTTTATAGTTGTGTGTGGGAGAGGAAATGGTTCCCTAGGTTCTGCAGTGTTGCTGTTGTTGTCTATGGTGTTATCTGTGCAGCCTGTTCACACCACCTTCTGTGGTTATGGTTCACACACACACAGGTGTTACTCCTATTGCAGTAAGTGTAGAGAGAGCACATGGGTGATGTCTGAGTGCTGTAACAAAATGCCAGGCTATGCTGAATGTTACTGTATCTCTTCATAGCTCTCACCCTTGCTTTTTTCTACATCTACTTTCTTTGATAACCTCTGTATTTTTTTGGAAGCCTCAGTAAAGCACCTAGGTTTATCCATTTTTCAGGGTTCCCACCTCATCCCTGACATGCTTGAAATTCAAAGACAGCCAGGAAAACAGCCAAAAACCAATATAAAACAGAATCAACACAACAGAGTAGTTACAAAACCCACTTTCATATATTCCTGTAAGGTAACTGTTTGGAAAAGAGAAGAAAAGATCCTCCAAGATATCCTCAAAGATTTCATCAAATTGCTTGTCTCACTGTTTGTATCACTCCTCTCAAAATTCTTGAAATTCCAGGACCAGTGGGAAGCCTGATATTCAGTCCTCGCTCTCCAATCCCTCTCCTCTCTGTTTTTCTGACCGCTGCAGGATTGTACTGGCCTCGTTTGACCTCCACACAGTAACATGACACAACCTGATAACACAGCAGAAGCTTGTATACATCTCTCTTTTCATCTTTCCTGGTGCACAGACAGAGCTAGGCACATATGCCAAACATGTAACAGCGCACTAAGGCAGAGACAGACACCGACATGGAAGCACTCTGTCAGAGAGACACACACATATATTCTTGCTCACAAAGTCGTGTTAAAATGCTGTCAGAGGGATGTCAACTGGTTTTCCCGAATGCAATTTGATCACAGTGAACGTAAAAGAAGTAGACAGCGGCGCTCCCAGCAGCAGCTGAGAAGATTTATATGCATGTACATTGACTAAATGCAAACATACACACACACACCTTCCCACTGCTGTCTTTCAGCCATGCCTCTCCACTCACTGTATTTCTAATCGGGCATGGCAGAGGACACCTCAGGTCTCCTCTGTGCTCACGGCAGCCCCGGGCACTGCTTCTCTGTGTGTGTTGCATATGTGTGAGTGTGCGTCAGTTTAGTTTATGTTGGTTGCTAGTCTCTTTGAAGTCTCTTTTAAACAGCCTGGCTGCCTATGACATTAAACAGACACAGTTCTCCATCCCTACATCTCTGTGCTCTCTCCCTAATCCATTAACATATCACGTTCCCTCCATCTTTCTTTTATATCTCCATCCTGGGCATCTCATTCTTTTTCTCTCAGCCACCCAACCCCCACTCCCCTGTTCGTCTCTTAGGGATGTCGTCTCCTTTCAAGAGCGGTTGCCATCACTACTTCTCTACAAGAACACAATTTCCCCCTTCACATCCTTCTCTGTGTCTCTCTTCATATCCCCTCCTCTCCTCTTCTCCACAGGCTTAATCCCCCTTTAGAGATTGCACAACCACTGTTTCTCACAACCACTTGGAAAAACTCCGCAAAGGAAGAGGATCCAGGGCTTCACTCGCTTCACAATTTATAACTGAGAGCGAGGAGTCTCCCTTCTGGGGATTTTATGTTTATGTCTGTGAAAGAAAATTAAGAGGAAGAGAGGGAGATAGTATTTATGTGAGAGAGTGCCAATGAGAGAGAAGGATTTGCGTGTCGTTAATCAACACAAAGTTTGTGCTGCTAATTCATATAATAAACTACTATCATAGTCTATTTGTTTGCTCTCTGTACAGCCTCGTTCTTTATTCTACAAAACAAGATGGCTTTTCCTCTGACCACTTCCTCTGTCATAAACAAGCGTCTAAGCACGTTGCTGCTTGACACATCTGCAATGGGAAAAACCATCATGGTGTCCTTGGGTTATGTGGGCTTGATAAGCTCAACAGTTTGCATGACATTGTGATGGGGGGGGGGGGTCTCAACGGTTGTAATGCCTCTCTCAACTGGAGCAGAACACGGCACAGGCTAATATTAGGGAAGCGAAACAGAACAAGGTGGCCTGAAGCCCCATCTCCGTTGCTCTCTGTGGAGTAGCGGAGGTACACAGTTGCTCCTGGCAAAAAGGCTGGGGTTACTTCATTTCCAGGTCATAACCTTGACTGCAGAACATAGACTGGTCCCATAGAGGAGGACATTGAGACAAGGACTTGACAGAGAAAGACAGAGAGAAAAACCTAACCCCCCCCCCCCCCACCACCACCACCACCACCACCCCCACTAACATCACAAAAGTTATTATAATTTAACACGTTAACTTTTAGTGATTGCAAGAGATGAGTCTGGCTATTGTTTAAGATGTAATCTGTGACTAAATCAATCCCAAGCCAAGGCAGTAAACCACAAGCCAAGATCTCTGTGGCTTACCATCTTGGCGAAATATCTTCATGGGGGGAACCCCTGATTTGTGTAAATTACTCACTTGACAAAGTAATTTTCCAAGGTCAATAATAAACCAAAGTTTTATTGGCTGCATTTTCACTAACTGACTAACATATATTTTAAAACTTAAGGGATGCTTCTCAAAAGTGCTTTGTCTTTATGTTAAAAAAGTGAATGTCGGTCAATTTATATATCATAATCATATTTTTTAAACTCAAACACAGATATTGGTAATGGCCTCAAACATCAAGTACTGGTTGGACTTGATACACTTGTACTCTCTTTGCTACCATGTTAATTCCATTTTCTGTCAGAAAGAGAGAGACAGGTGGAGAAGAAGAAAACAAAGTTTAAAAACTCAGTATAAAAAAAGGCAAAGAGTAAAACAGATAGGACTGCCCATGGCAGCGTAAAAGTCCCAGTTGAAATTGATTACCAATGCAAAGTTTGGCACAGGCACAAAGTGGAATTAAACACTTCAATCTCCAATCACTCTGCATTTTCAGCCAAAATCAATACACATTACTGTCACAGAGGGTGTTCCTTTGACGGGTGGAGAGAGCACAGCTGCCTGGCTACACCAGATACTCACACAGGTACACGACATATGTGTAAAAATAAAATAAGACATAAGAACGCTCAAAACACAGCATCATCTGCCTTGGTCTGTGTGTGCACATGCAGTTAAAATCACAATACGTACAGTCTGACCTGTTTGACCGAGCAGGTTTCTGTGTCTGGCCTCTGCTGTATTTCATCTTTGCTCCTTCTACAACTGCTCATGCCAACCAGGCAGGATTTACGAGGCTCTGGCATCACAGCAGGGTTTCCCTGCCTACTAACCACTTTAACAGTCTACTTTGATTTTTTTTTTCTAAACATAAAACCATAGTGTTTTGTGGCTATTCAAATCAATCTTTTTACAGTACCATGAGCAAATAATGGCAATGTTCCTCTCTCTAAATGCAGTATTTTTTAAAATCTCAAGTAATTTTATTTTAAAAAGTTTTAGTCCTGAATTGTTTAGCATTACTTGTACTGGAAATGCTTCGAGGAGAGAACAAATAGACAGCTATGGGCCACTAGAAAAAATGTTTTGCTTTCCAGGCAGCCATTGGTTAACATTAATTTTAATACAGTATGAACGTTACGCAAGACCCTTTAACACCTAAACCCAGGAAAAATGCACAATAACCAAACCATGGACATTACTAAAAGGATAATATGGTTTCGACAGTTCCTTGCATTAAAATTGTAACTGTTCAGGAGCCAAGTTTTCTTACACTGTTGTTAATCTAAATCATTATACAATGATAAATCATAACAGAACAATGAGTTTATATAAGTATGCCACCCACAACCACCCACATCGGATTTTATCCAAATCTGTCTTAATACAGTCATGTTTTGCATTGGTGGTTCTTTGAAAATCGAACCCTGACCCTGGCAATGTTATTTCATCTACTCTCACCAATGATTATCTGTTTCTTGAACATGTTGTCTCCTTGTTTGGGCCTTCTAAACAATATCCAAAAACCATAGTATTTGTTGTGTACACTTACTTACCTACTGTAAGAACTAAAAGAACACACCTGATTAACACAGTCCAACAACTGCAACTATTGAGTAATCTATAAACCCTAACCAGACAGGCTGGTGCAAGCCGGACATCATCAAGAGTTTCATTCTCAACTAGCAGGGCAGCAAAATGGGAACAGAGATGATCCTTAAACTAAAGGCCCCACATTCAAGACATTGGTCAGCAAGCACCTGCAATGTGCTGGAGCAAAACCAATCACCAACTATGGATCTGGTTTGCACTGTATATCACATTTTAATCATTTTGAAAATCCAGCCACAGCATTAACAATGATTATACTGAGTCTATCTTCCATGCAATGAACCATTAGTAATCAAAGAACATCTGCTCTGTAAGGGAGCCAATCAAGCATCTGAACAGTAGTGATGACTCTGCTGAGAGAAGTAATCCCCACCCACCACCTAACAACACGTGAACCATATAGAATTCAGAGATGGCTTTAAACATACATAAACAGTATCAGCTATTTCAACAATAATAAAATCTCCAACACAAAAGGAGAAGTTTGGGATAGTGGAGCCGTCATGCTGCTGTGCACGCACCCTGAAGCGGCAGTTTAAAGTAGAAGAGTAACAACAGAGAGCAGACGGGCAAAATGAAAATCAAATGTCTGAAGCAGAACTAGTCCTTCGCAATGGATCATTATCTGGTGTATTTCGGATTAAGGTCAAGTGATGTTATACAAGAACAAATCATATGCACAGAGTGCATGAGTCTTGTGTCTGTGCCGCAAAGTAACACACATAAGCGTGATCTCAATATTGATCAAAATAATTGGGATTATCATTTTGGCCATTATCATGCAGCACTTCAGAAAATACTCCTTTGGTTCATGTCACTGCTGAAACCTCATATTATCTTCAGGTGAACTTCAGAGTTCAGTATTGCTCAGAACAAGGACAGAATTTTGTTAGGAAGGTTTCTCCTCACGGACAGTATGAACGGAAGGAACAATAACCATGACTCATACATATGGGCATGTGAGCATTGTTTTAAGATAGACTTCAAAGAGACATGAACCTATCCTTTGACTCAGCTCAACTCATAAAAGTTGCCCTCTATACTTATATGTAAGCTGTTTATCTGGTGCGTCAATGAGCTACTGATACTGAGGCATGAGAGATACAACTGATAGCAGAACAGATGATGCAAATAACATTCATTTCGTTCCTGGACACATACCTGTCCAAGTGACAAAAGGGGTCTCTGCTCAGATGTGCAAGGTGCTCCACCAGCAGAGGGGGCGGAGCGTCAGAGATCCCACTTCCTCCTTCGCTCGTCACTCACACATGCTCCTTGAAGAGACAACAGAGAAACGAACAGAAAAAAAACATTTGTTTAACTACAGATGTGAAAAAGCAGCATGTGCACTAAGCAGTTGGAGAGATATGTATCACTCTTGTGTCATCTGAAAGATCTAAGTCAAGAATACTCTACATGAAAGGTGTCTCTTTGTTTATTTCTCTCTCATGTATTCCAGTTACATTAAATCGGGTGTGGATTGTGATTTTTCCAAACTGCTTGGAAAGGAGACAGAGCGTTCTTATCACACCTTGGGGACCAAAACCTGAAAACACAACCACAGGAAGACGAGAGAGAAGATGTCACTCAACTCACTCAAACACACTTCCTGGCTGTGCACACACAATAACAACAGTCATCCCTCTCATATAATCACAGTCAGAGTCACAATGTCACCAGGCAGGTTTCCAGTTGTGCCAACACTTCCTGGCATTAGTGGAAATGCATCATCAAACGTGTCTGAAAAGCAGACTTGGGAATGCTGTCACTCACTTACAAAGTTGTCGGCATAGCTGTGTATCTCTCTGTATTGTGTTATAAATCCATCATCCTACCGCCTTCCACACCCACCCAAAGGTTAAACATAGCTAAAGGCACTCTGCCAGCCTTGGAGCAGGATAAAAAGAGAGGGAGGGAGAAGACAGAGGGATGAAGGGGGAAGAGAAATAGGGATGGACAACTGACGGATTCTCAGAACTGCTCATTTCACTGGATTAATCTGCTATTTTTGAAAAATCCGCAGAGAATGAAGATGAGACTGAATATGACTCAGTGTGGGTGTATGTGTACGTGTTTGTGTGTCTGTGTGTCCTTCAATCCGGTCCTTGGCCTACTTTAAAGCCAAGTCATCATTCTGGTCCAGTGGGACTTCATATTGCCAGCCAGTGTATGTGTGTGTATTAAGAGTTTGTATTACAAGAGAAGCTATACCATAAATCTCTTCCTGCCAGCCCACACAATCCTGCGTTAGTGAGTGTGAGGAGCTGTACTGCAGTGCAGGTATGCTTCAGTATGTGAAGGGTCGTGGCCACCAAAGGTGTCTTTCTGTCTCCTCCTGGGTGAGTCATCATTCCTCATCTCCTCCCTGCTTTTCTTACTCTCGCTCTCTCTCTCCTTCTCTTCCTCTCTTACACAATGATGTTGCAAACTGTTTTTCATGCCATCTCTCTTTTCTGTCCCTTTATCAATCATGCAATTCCTCAGTTTGAGTGGAATGTAATCCATCTGCAAATTGGTATCAGGACAAGCAAGAGCTTCTATAAATACTCATCAGATTCCCCTGACAATCACAAAACAAACCTACAGACCTAACACACACACACACACACACACACACACACACACACACACACACACACACACACACACACACACAACACCTCAGTGCAAATAGCAACCCATCTCTCCATGTGACTGCAGAGCAAACCTCTTCCTCTGCCCATTTTGTGTCCTAGTCCTTCCATGAGTGGCGTATGTTGAGAAAGAAACAGACCAAGAGAACAACCACAAAGAACAAGACAGGCAGTCTCTATCTTGACAATAGAGGCAATCTGTATTGTCTGTCTCTGGAGAATGAGTAAGTGAACACTGCACAACATGGTTTGACAATATTGTACTTAATTATTGCTGTGCTATTGAACCAAATTTGAATTTGAAAGTTTGAATGAGAGAGACTAAATGTCTGTGTGTAACTGGGCTCCTGTCCAGCAGTGCAGCAAAGTTGGGAGGTCTTCCAACATATGCAGCTACCTCAGCTTTTCCTACACCTGGGCATGAATTGTTCTCTTATAAAATGTAAACCCTGACCTCATACTGTTAAAAACACAAAAACATGCTATAATAGCTACTGCTGCTCTGAGACAGACCTGATTTCACAAGTTTGCTGGCTGTCAAACCCAAAAACGCACACAGCTCATGCCCCTAGTACATCAAGATGTGATGTCTCAGTGGTTAGGCTAACAGATGGACACTTAGTCAGATGTGTAATGCAGAGCAAGTGAGCAGAGGTGGACCTGTCCAAACAGTGAGCTGTGCTAGTGGAACATGACATTATGTCGGCCAACACCACACTGACACAAGTGTCCATTTACCAGAGACAGAAATCTACTCCATGTGTGTCCACTTTGATGCAGTTTAAGAGGACAGGTGTTGCTGTGAGGGCCAGTAACTCTCAAACGACTATTACAAAAACACCTGAATCAGTCCTATGATGATCACCACTCTTACCAGTTCTTATAGTTCTCTCTTCTTCAATCCCAAAACACCTGTTCTCTGCAGGAATTAGGTATTAGTGTGTACCAATACTAACCTTATTAAGGGGATCAGATGTTAGCCAGACGTGACTGATCCACATTAAACAGAGTTTTCTGTCTGCTCCATATATTTGCTGCAGTGAGCTCATTTTGATGCTTTACGCCCTCAAGTCACGATGTGGTCAAATTTAACTTGTGTTGACGCATAGTAAGTATAAAATCTCATACGCAGTCTGGAAGAATATTATTAAAACTAGGGGTGGGACCATATATCGATCCGGGATACCTATACCTAATACCTATACTTTGATACTACAGATTTAAATTTGACCTATCAGTCACTCCTTCATGCCTCCTTATGGTCGTGCCTATCAAATGAATGACAGTAAACTTGAGGTGAAGAAGAAAAAAAAAACTCACTGGACAGACAGCACAGACAGCTGGAGAAAACAAATCACAGGGGTACTGTATTCTTTCAAGTTGAAAGTCTGGGCCCACTTTGGCATTTACAACACGTATTGCAAAAATAACATCGATAAAGACAATGTGACATTAATGCCCCTCTCACACATGCACACTGCCAGACAAGAGCCGCTGTCCTGTACACAAACACACATGCATACACTTTAACTACTCAGCACTGTGTCAACAGCCACTCTCACACACCGACACACACCTGGGCATAAACACACGCAGGCATCATGATGAGCAGTGGACTGGTCAGCAGTCTGATGTTAATGAGACTGAATGTGCACACAGATACACAAACACCTACACACTAGCCATTTTTCTGTCATCTGAATTATAGCTGGAAAGTGAGAGACTGCAGTCTGCAAGTTTGAATACTGCAATGTGATAGAAATGTTTCCAGTTTTACATAAAACAAGCTGATTATGTTTGTTAAGCACTGAATGTGTATTTTTATGTGTGTTATGTGTGTTTTCTGGCAATTAGGCCTTTTTCCAGTCAAAGGCTATTTCACATTAGAGTGAAGGCACACATGGACATGGACAAGTTGCAGTCAGTGTGTGTGTGTGTGTGTGTGTGTGTGTGTGTGTGTGTGTGTTAAAGAGGCACTAAGACTGTGCAGTTTGTTGTGCATTATTTCATCTCAGTTGTCAAATTCTGTGAAACTGACACCACAATGAAGTGAATAAATACGATTCCTGCTTTTTGCCTTTTTAGGGGTATTTTTCTTCTTCACTTACACAGATATCGTGATGTATTTTCTGGCAATATATCGAGTGTCACAGAATCGCTGTATTGTGATACCATCAGTATCGTGGGGAACGTATTGTGATAGTATTGTGACTTTCCCACCCCTAGTTAAAACATGCACAAAAAATGGACATCCACACTTCCAGTAAGACAGTGAGGCAGTGATATATTGATTTTAATACCCTGAGTTTAGCTATCAGAGAGAAAAAAAGTTTTCTGCTTCTTACAGTCCTTGTTATCCCTCCTTAGCTACTTGTCTTCGTTCCAACTGTGACCAGCCGAGAATCAACGCAGAGAATGCAGCACGGCAGCCAAAAGGCTGGGTCCTCATCATCCCACTCTACTCTTGCCTGTATCTCTGACCCTACTGAACACTCCCTGTGAATAATCTGCAAAGTCTTACTGTCTTCTCCCACACAGACCTCTTTCCATTCAGTCTGGGCCGAGGTAATTCCTGTCATAAATCCAAAAGTCCAGTGACTGAGCCAGTCTAACAAATGCAGAGGTTAGGATGAGCTCATGGGTGGACTGATGAAGAAATCTCTGCTAGCAAACACAAGTCTTTCAGCGAGTATAAATCACTTAACACACAGCCTGTGGTTTATGCATGTCTGCACCCACATAACACCTTCCGAGCTAAAGTTGTTTTGATAAAACCTGAGGGCTCTGAGGCTTCAAAGCAGGACTGGAGCCAAACAAGGTTGAGGAGCTCTGAAACGACCTTTGTTCCAGACAATTTAGAGGGTGGTGTGGGCTGAGCTAAGACTAACAGACAGTCAAATCAGTCCTTCACAATTCCCCAAGCTCAGAGAGAACACACTGTGACCAACCAGCCATGGCCAAGCATTAAACCTAACTGTTCCGCTCTCTCTCTAAAGACTGCCAGAGAAAGACACTAAAAAGAGCTGAAACTGGGTAAGACAGGAAGAAAGGTCTCTTTTCATGAGACGGTGTGATAGCTTGCTATAAGCATGTGTGTGCAATGTGTGTGTGTGTTTGGTTACTCGCCAGAGTTTCGTATGTGTTATGTGAGTCTGTTTGTAGCGTATGTTGTACCAGAGGGAGTCCAAAGATGACATCTTTGGTCATAGCAACAACAAACAGTGCTGTGCCAATCCTGTGCCAACTGCACCTCCCATCCACCTCCTTCAAGCCCTCTCTTCGACCTCCTGCTCATGTCTCCAGTGGTGTGGGAAAGGAAGGCCCTGAAGGGCCTGCAGCACCTCGTGCACACACAAACACCAAATCCATGCTAAATAGAGACTAGAGGAAAGGCAACAAAAGATGACAACAACAGTATCACAAGCATCTGTGGCCGTAGCTCACCATTTTTGACAGCTTTCCAGGGGAAGCACAGGGAGGAAAAACAGGAATGCCAGGAATAGAGCAAGGAGAGAATAGGTAAGAAGCAGCTGGTGCAACGTCCCTGGACATGCCACTATGTCACACTTGTCCTGGATGAAACAGCCCCCACAACAGCCTGTTTTGCTTTCCATAATAAGGACGTGCTCTGGGAGCATGTC